CTTTCTTTAGTTGATTTTTGCCGTAAACACAAAGATTTACGGAATTACAGTAAACAAGGTTTTTATTTTCAACTTAGGTGTGTGTCTAAATCATATTTTTAGTGTATATAATACAGGACTTTTGATAATTTTCCTTTAGCAAGAGAATGTGCAACTTTAAAGAAGAAAAATTCTAATACGAAATTTTCAGCTCAAAAAAAATATTCTTTTGTAATGTTATACCTTTAAGTGTTATACGCAGTCAAAGTTGCACATCAAATGCTTTTCCTTATAAACATTTACATTTACACATATTTTGAAATATTTTCGAGTCCATATGAGTAACTTTCTAACAGCCCTTTCAAACACATACATTTACGTTGTATGTGTATACCCACTTGTCACGCAAAACGTTCTAATCATAAAATAGTGCCAACCCACCAGCAATTCTTTATTTCACCACAAGATCAAAGCAGTTTCCTTTCCAAGCAATGATAAGCGTATGGAAAATATATTTGCTGTCCCGCTGCGCTGCTTCAAAGCAAGGCTTTTGTTAGGAAATCACAAAAGAAAATTTAAAAAAAAATATGGCGTGTTACCATCGGCGGTGAGTAGTTTTTGTGACATTTCACTTTACTTTTATATCTTTTCCCAGTTGGCGCAGTGTATGTTCTGTCTCTTATACACATCTAGATGTGTATAAGAGACAGAGTTTAAAAAATGTATATATAATTAACTTCTCTTTCGAAATCGAATGTTTTTTTTTTTTTACTTTATACTCTGCAAACTTGGTTGATAAACAACCCGAAAGTCTTTTCTAGTATGAACTCATATGTATAACGTGTCCTCCGTCTTACAGTTTTATATTTATTCTTTTCTTATTCTCTGATAGAAAAATTTATATCTAGGAAATGAAATGTTCTACGAATTTGTATCTGACGATTTTTTCGCAAACTTTTCCGTTTAAAACTAGAAACGGTTGATTTTGATTATTTTAGAGTAAAGAAAATTTTTTTTTTTTTTTTTTTTTTTTTTGGATTTTGTGATAAGAATCGTTGTTTTCACCAACCTAATGTAAATTCACTATTATTATCTAGCCCTTTCACTCGATTATTTATAACAATTTAAGTAACAACCTCTTCCCAAACCAACTCTCAAAYATTAGAGAGAAATGTAGTCGGTGTAACATTTGTAGTAAATATCGCCTGTTAAACCTATTTTATTTATAGCTCTTTGTATTTATTGGCGGTTTCAACTAATTTATAGTCGTACCTTTTGCATATTGCCTTCCATATTGTTGTTGCTTTTACAGTTTTAAGCTTTCGTTTACTTTTTGTACCCATTTTAGCTTATTCCACATTTTCACATTTTGGAAAAACGAATTAATTCAGCTTAAGCATACTTGTGGGCATTTAAATTACGGTTGCATCGACCGAAAATGTAAATGCAACTAATTTGGCAATTGTTTTACTTTTCTGTGGTTCATATCCCAGCTGATTTGATTTACGAACAACACCCTGGCAGATAAACTGAAATGAGATAACTGGTTCGGGACTTAGTACTTTGTGATTGGATAGGAAGGAATAATTCTCTTCAACTCGTTTCTTAGTCTTAAAGGGTGATTCACCGACTTCGATACCATTTTTGTCGCACGATATGTCTTTTGTTTCAAAACAGATCTCAGTTTCGGCGATAACCTCTGCTTACGACAGAAATTTCATCCAGCGAGCACTCTTTTGAAGTCTGCGAACAGGAAATATTCGCTAGTGGTGAGATATGGAGAATATGCTAGAGCTTAAACAATTCGAAACAAAATTTATGGATTTCTGAAATCACTTTCACCGACTTGTGACACGCTGCATTGYCTTGGTGAAGAATGGGGCCGTTGTTCGGCGATTTCGTCCATCAAAGGAACCAACAATGCTATGTAATAGTCGCTGTTGRTGGTCRTTCSTTCTTCAAASTAGTCAATAAAAATGATYCTAAACTCATTCCAAAATASRKACGGCATAAAYTTGCMWGCTTTCTATTACATTTTTCGACGCTTTGAATTTGGTTTATCGYGTGTCCACTCRGWTGWCTGTCGATTGRACTTCGTAGTGAAATGATGGAACCATGTTTCTTCCAYTGTCACATATTTAAACAAAAAATCGTGCTTATTACACCTGAACATCTCCAATTACTGCTTCGAATCATTAACTCATGCTTGTTTTTAGTAAACAGTGAGCTCGCGCCGCATCCATTTKGACAGAGCTTTCTCATACTCAAATATGAGCTCGTGAACGAATTGTTGTGAACTGACATAATTTACGAAATAATGATCTGCCAGCTGTCAAATTTAGAATCGCGTCTTTTGGAGGTTAGAACAAACTAAAAATCGATTCTAGTGTGTCGGATTGGAGACTTTTTAATTGACAACTTTACACACTTTTAAGAGTAGCTTCCAAATTTTGTCAAACTGACTGTCAATTAAGTACTAATTACAACCTTTTTATAGCAAATTTGGTTAAAATTAGGTGTAAAGAATTTAAATTTCGTTAATTGCCAATTAGAGTTGCTCTTTGACCGTAATGTAACTGCGCATGRAAGCTGTGAGGATAAAAATTACTTAAAGTATCATTTTAAGAAACCAACAACAAGAGCTTCATAAATCCATTGACCCAACAGTAAACCACTTGAAGTCACTTCATCAGATACTCGCTCAAAAGTTCAYAACATTAAAAGATTGCCACTTTTAACATTCAATCTTTCAATAAACAGTAGTTAATATTTGAACTCGTATTTGATTTAATTTCCTCTTGAACCTCTAAGCTGTCTGTATCCAATTTCAATTTGCCGAACTTGACACGCGTTGACAACGCTGGCGCGTTTATTGAGTTCCCCAACTGCTCATTWSATTTCATTCAAATTTTTGTCTGACCGTCTGAATGTCAGTGCTTCTAGTGTCGCGCTGCCACRCTGCCACGCTTGGCGATGAATGACCCCATTTTAATTTATTTACTACTCGTATTTGCATTCTGATTCCTTTTYCCCCCTGCACTGACGTCGTCTTTGTTTCGCCGCGTGTTTTCTTATTAAATTTCTAGTGACATTTCGTGAAGTTATTCCCCGGCGGCCATTTAATTTTGCTCGTGATRTAATGAAATTGTTTAAAAATTATTATTTCAGCACTTATTCGCCGGCTTCTCCTTTTTCTGTCTGTGCATACTTCGTTGTTGTGTGTTTTAGTTGATAAGTTCGTTGCAATACAACAAAGCTGTCTTGTTGTACAARTAAAACTTGCCGACAATACACTTCAAGAATTTTTGATTTGTAATTAAATGTGTTTGCAATTGCTGTGGCATGTACTATTATGTCTTTATTTCATTTAAGTGACTCGAAGTGAAGCAACACATTGAAATAGCATGTTAACTGTCATGTTAAAAGTCACTCAATAAAATTCAAAGAATTTGTGYTTAAGCTGTATATTGTTTCTCAATTTTTAATTTGCGAGACAACAGTACGTGAAATACTACGATGGTATTGCCTGTTAAAATTCCATTCAACATATGTATGCATGTTTCAATTATGAACCGGTTGAAGGAATTTAAAGCAATCAATAATGCTTTGTGTGGCTTTTAGAAGCTCTAGTACATGTGCTGAGATAATTAACTTGTTCCACTGCAATAAATAATTGGGTCCACGAAGTTAATGCTAAAGTCTTTAATAAAGTAGAAATTTAAAATTTCAGTCCCGAAAAACCGAGATTAAATTTCCGGCATTGTGTACATGAAGTTATATGCTAAACTTTTTAAGTATTCAACAAAGTAAAACTGTAAAATTTCAGTACCGAAAWTTCGGGATTCATCTTTCGGGATCCCGTTATAAAAAATGTTAGACTTAATAATACACCTGCTTATAACATGCGCTGATATATTAATTTTTATTCCTTACTTACTTTGTGTAATTGAAATATTCAAAATATTTATTTGAAGAATAAAGCAACTTGATGGCTTGAGTATACAAATTTCGGGATTCCATTATTACTGAAATCTTTCTCTTTGTTACTGCATTTTTATATTCGCTAGCTACTTTTATATATAAACATTATGAAACACAAAATAAAATTTGCTTCCGACAATCCCGAAATTTCGAAACTCAACTTTCGGGCTCCCGTAATTAAGCTGACAGGATTTCTTCTGGCTGATACTCGCTTACGTTTTTCGTAACTTTTTTTTGTGATAAAAAAATTTTAAAATTTTGATACCGAAATTTCGGGATTTTAGTTTTGTGACTCGTTCCGYAATCAATCAATCAAATTGAGATTGAAGTTTTACTCTCACCGCAGTACATAAAAATTCWAGGCAAGAAAAACATGGTCCCAAAAATTCGGGATTCAACTTTCCAAATTGCTAACATATATTATACTAGGTTGTCAAAAAACTCTTGCGGTATTTACGCTAGTTGGCGCGCTGAGAGCGCGTAGTTCTAGTTTTATTCGTCGCATATCAGATCATGCTATATCTTTTAGGAAAGCTCATTGATCGATTGTGGTTTCTTTTAAGTCGTTCGTGAKTTATAGCGTCGCAAACATGGAGCAAAATAAAGAGAAAATACGGCATATTTTACACTACTACTACGATAAAGGCAAAACTGCATCTCAAGCCGCCAATAAAATTTATGCAGTTTATGGATCCAATACAGTTTTCATTTCCACCGCACTCCGGAAGGCCTGTCGTCGAAAATTGCGATAAAATCGCTGAATTGGTCGAAAGAGACCGGCATAGTAGCAGCTGTAGCATCGGTCAAGAGCTGGGCATCAGTCATCAAAAAAAATTGTAGGAACAATTGAGAATTCAATAAAAAATACCGCAAGACTTTTTTGGCAATCAATATTTACAAGTATTCGTGTTTTTTTCTTCCTACAACTTTATTTTTTTTTTTTTATAAAAAAGTCTTCAAAACATGAAACAGGATGAACCAAAGTTTATAACGAATATTTCTTGTTGTTGCTAATTCCTACATTCTGTCATTAAAATAATGGTAAAAAACGAAAACATGTGTACCAATAAATCCCGAAATATTTCGGGATCCTAAAATTTTTTCGAAATTAAAAAAAGTTTTTAAAATGTGCGTTTTTTAACGTCATCGCCAATTCCAAATTCCATTTTTACAAAATATCATAGATTTTGCGACATTATCTACAACTTTCTTATTCTAATGGCAATTTTCCAAATGTAATTTTATCTAAAATGCTTCTGATTCACTGAAATTGCAATCACAGTTTAACGCGCTGCAAAGCCATTGGGAAAGTGCCAATCAAAATCGCCTTTCAACCGGTTATACTGAGTACCTGCTTGCCGCCAACGCCGAGCTGCAATCATTTCAAACGATCACGCGCAACTCGCAAGCAGCAACAAAGAAAATGCGCTCATTTTAATTTGATTAGAGTCGCATGTTGCTAAGTGTGGCATGTGGCATGCAACTTGGCATAACTTACAAATTTCCCGTAGCGACACACAAAACACCCCCAAAAATGCGCTTAAACTMCAACTCAACCAATAAATTGGCGGGGGAGCGGCGGCGCAGAGCTGCTCATACCTGCAYTCCGAGCGACAAAAGCGGAATTAAACAGAAAAGTGGAATTAAGTGCCGAGTGGCAGCACAGGCAAGGTGCAGAGCGTGGAAAATTGGGAAGTTGAGCCCCTAAGCCACAGGTCGCCGCCGGTGTTACAAAATAGAAACAAGCTAACAAACGAGCAAATGAATGAGCAGATGGGACCCGGCAAAAGTTTTGTGAGTTGAGCTTGCTTACTCTGCTTATATGTGTTCGGTGTGTACATGAGTTTGTGGGTGCCTGTGTATGTGTGTTGGCGCGTGTTCAGCAGCCCTGTCCGTGATGCATACAAATACATACATACATAAATCACTTGRGGAGCCAACRATGAAATATAATTCCCAGCAAACGGCCACGCACACTGAGACATATATATACATACATACACAYACATACATAGACATAGAAAAAGTTCCATCACATGCACAAATGCCAATGTGAGCCGTAAGCGATTTGCAATTTGTTTGCGGCGAATTCCCTAACTACTGTTACTTCGAACTGCTGCCGATACGCACTGGATTATACACTTGCAATATGCATATATATGTACACATATACATATATRCATACAAGTATAAATGTGTGAATGCCTTCGCTGCGCTTTTCAGCGCCGTTTTTTTCTTGCATTTTAATTTTTATTTATATTGTATGYTCCCTTCATCAATTTTTTTTCGCTTTCCTATTCTTCTTCTGCGAACATTCACACACTAGTTGCAGATTTTTGTTGCATTTTTCTYTATCTGTTCTGGTTATGTTGCAACATTGTCGACTACCATAACTTTTTATGTTCCAAAGCTCAATGCAAGTCCCTTCGGCAACTGTGCAACCAARCAACTAAACGCAATGCTCCAACCAGCTCAGTTGTGCCGCCGCTTGTTGCACGTGCATACATGTACATGTGTATATGTGTACCATGACTCCGACCTCTATGCGGCGCACTCGAGGGATCCAATCAAAACTGAAACTATAAAAGCGAAAACAATAATATTGCTAACAAACAAGCATATCACGTGAGGAATGTGTACGTGTGTGGGAGTGTGTTGCAGCAGTGAGGGCGCAAATCTAGTGTGTCTATGCAATTTAAACTTTCTCTACATCGATGGGAATAAATAAAGAATACTAGAGAAAGATTTAGGTAATTAAAGTAAAAAATATATTGAGAGTGATAGAAAATATTTCATTTTTTTTTTACTGCGCCTGATTTTATTATAYCAAAAGTAATTTTTGTAAGATTTTAGTAAAATTTTGTTCAATATTAAAAGTCCTTAAAACGTTAAACAAACCATTTCTCCAAGTTTTATTTTAATTTCCGCAAGGGAAACTATTTTGCTGAAATGATATGCAAACTTCTACAAGAAAATTTACATTAATTTTATATAATCTAATATTTGTTTTCTATTACTTTATATGTAACTTGAGGTCCACTTAGCACAGCATCGTTGGTAGAAAAGTAGCATTCAGACTGAATTTTAGTAAATTAGCTCTATAATTGTCCAACAAATTGGCTAGTTCAATGATAGAAAAGAAACGAGGGATTTCTGCTTAATACAGATTTGTTTAATTCCAAAACAAAACAATTATGAGAGGAAAAAATGCTTTTAACTATATATAAATTGAGTTAAATCTACTACAATCTAGCTAATTGAGCTTAATTAATATCTTCTTCTTTAYCGGAGCAGACACCGCTTACGCGATTATAGTCGAGTTAACAACAGTGCGCCARTCGTTTTTTTCTTTTCGCTACGTGGCGCCAAGTTCAGACATAGCGGCATAAAGGCAGCTCCTCTTTGTGCTCTCAAAGGCGGCTTTAAAATCGAGGGGTAGACTATGGCGATCTTGGTTTCACGGGTATCTCCCAAGATTTGGTGCATGCTGAATATGTGGTCAGTTGTAGATTTTCCAGGTATAAAGCCACATTGAACTTAAGAATATCAAATWGATATCATAAAAAGTTTATTTATTTTTTATGTAAATATGGTAAATTGAACTCAAAAAAAAATTTAAATACTGAATTGAATAAATTTACTAATTTGAAAAATTTTATTATCAAATTGAGCACAATTAAAAACAATTTATCATATATCACAAGGGTATTTTTTATGTTTTATTTTTTTGTTTTGAACTATTAATTTTTTTCAATGCCTTCACGAAATTTTCTTGGACATACCCTAAAAAAAAACATTCCCTGAAAATTTTCTTAAATGATAAGAGCTTTAGAAAAAATGTATATGACAAATTTGTATAAAATGTAATTTGCTATCATTAATACTTCTCGAGATATTTAGCTTTTCATGTAAGGCTTTATAGATTTTTCAGAGATGGTATGTATTAAAAAAACACTCTTATACATACTCATTCCAAAAAATTTTAAATGCCTAATTGAGTAAGGTACATTTTATGACTCTATCAATTTAGATGGATTCAATGGTTTCTTTAAGAATTAAAATTTTATGGTAATAYAATAAAGTTGCTTGAGTTCAATACTTTGAGACAACTTAAAGGATAATATTGCTTAAACGATATATTAAGTTAAAGGATTAGCTTGGCGAGCATTTACAAGACTCGACGCTGATTAAATGATACCAGCCAATCGACTCCAGGAAATTACAATGAAATAAACATTGAAAACAAAAAAAATACTCGTATGATAAACCAAAATAACTAARTACTACAACTTAAATCGACTTAAGCCATTTTAACTCAACGCATTACTAATAAGCTGATAAGTATTACATTAAAGCCTATGGAAACCTCGCTACTTACATTAAAATAAAATTAAAAAAAAAAAAATATTGAACCAATCTTTAGCCGTAAAACGTAATCTTCTTCCACTTTTACTTCTTCCGCATTATTAAAAATTAACAAAAGTTGTTACATTGTGTGCTGTTTTTAAAGCGTCCGCTTATTCCCCACTTCCAACAACTCAAGTGGCGTTGCAACATTTTCTGCCGTCGCCGGCATTGTTTATCCACCCATTGTATTAACTTGTAATCTCTTGAACATTCTTTAATTTTATCATTGTCTGTTATGCTCTTCTCCATATTTTCCTGCTTCATCTGCAACTTATTTCTTTTCTTCTTCTTATTTACACAGTGACATTGTCATCCGGCTCTAGTCTGCGTAATTTCTTCGAATACTTCTCGGCGGCCAGCTCCGCTGCCTCGACGACAACCACATCCACAACGCAGAGCATAGCGCGTCCATTGAAATTGATGGTATTGGCAGCTGCTGTATGGCGCTCGCAAGCGCTGCTCCTCGGGTTGGCAGCTGGCCTCGTCGGYGCTTACAGCACATTAAGGCTGAAGCCAGCCACCAACGCCAGCAGATAGTTCAATCGCAGCAAATCGAACGCGTTAATGCAATGAAGACGATGCTGGTCGAGGTGGCGAGATGAAAGCTATTGGCTGCAGGATGGCCTGTGAAAAGCTGAGCCAAGCTATATAGGAGACCAAAAGCGGAGGAGCGAAGCATAATTATAGRCGATGCAACAAAAGCTTTTAATTGCAAAGGCGAAAGCGAAGCGGTAAAGGCACAAAAAGCGCACGCGGCAGAGAGACGATACTATAAGACAGTTTATTTAAGTAATGAAGAACACAAGCACACACACAAACACACATGCATATACACACACGTATACATAGTGTCTACACGATAATTCAGTTAATTAGGCAGAGCTTAAGAATTGAACTGCTGTTGGCAAATAAATGAGCGAAAAGTAAATAACTTTTTGTTATTGTTTTTCTCCTTTTTTAACGGCATATTRAAGTATGCGAGATCTGCATGTTTGTAATTGAATATTGTTAATGCTGTTCTGTACAATTTACCATGTTAATAATGCATAAGTGAGAAAAAAAACAACAAAAATGAGAAAAACACATTTAGCAAATAAGTCAAAGAAATTAAATGAAAAAAGCAAAACAAATAAATATATGTAGTACATACAATAAAAAAATATTCTAGGTGTTAATTATTGTGGAATAATTGATATTAAATAAATATTTGTAAATAGTAAATGCGCACGCAATCTAACGGTTAAGCAAAGTAAACAATGGCGAAAGTAATTAAAGCAAATAAACACCAATACATATGCACACGCATACACACTCATACATATACACGCAAAGCTATGTAAATCAAATAGTGGCTAGTCTAAATCTTTTACAAATATTTTGGTTGAACAATGCTTTGGGAATACTGGAGAAATTATAATGATTGTTTAAAAAAGCAAATTTAATTTTTTCTTAAACAAATTCATTTTAAATATTATTTGAGTATATATTCACTTAATTATATATTTTTTTTATGTTATAACTATTTAAATCATCATTTTGTATTTAAGATTTACTCATATGATACTCAGCAAAAATAAGYTTATTTTAGAAWTAAAYATAAAGTAATAATTTTATGGTAAATATAAAGAATAATTGTTTAAAATTACTTAGAGTTTATTTCCATAAATTTTGTTAGTTTTAATAAACTATTTTTTCAATAAAACCAATTTATTCCTCCACATGTTTTATATTATAATGTATAAATGTCAAAAAAATATATAATTTTAATAAATACTCAGATTTATCAAATAGCTTAGAAAGTTTGTTTCAATAAAATGCAGTTTCATAAGCACATTAGTACTTTAAATTGTACATAAATAAAGGTTTAATGTATTARAAGTATTGTTGAAGTGTTAAAGAAGCACAGCTGGTGCAACAGCCTAAAATACGATCTGTGAGAATTTAAGAAACAATATATCAGTTATATAAAAGTGAAATTTTTTTTTAACTAATTTGCATTCTTTAAGAATGCATAGCATTATCGTTGAATCAAAAAAGAATATTTTTCTTTATAAGCAATATCCGACAGCGCTAACCAAGGTCCTTCACTGATGCAGCGATTTTGGCCTAACAAAGAAGCCAAACAAAAACTCTCTGCTTGAAAATATTATGCGTAGAATAAAAAGTAAAACAACTTTGAAAACGAAAAGTAATAGAACTGTTTTTCTTCCGCCGTGACTTTACCTCGCAGCGTGTTTTCTCCGAGCAATTGGATAGTCAGGGCAAACATTTTCGCGCGACGTGTTTCTGGGAGGGGTGCAAGCCGGAAATGCTGCGTTCGTTAGAGCAGAGGTACGCGATTAAATTCTATGTRAAATCAGCGACACAGAGACGTTTGATATGATCCAGCATGTTACCCAGAKATTGGTTTAACAAGAAGTGTTGTGTTTCGGTGGAACCAGGCCATTTTGGAGAGAGGTCGCTGATGAAGACCGTGCAGGGAGACTTGCGACTTCGACAAACACCGACAATGTGACTCGTGTGAGCAAATTTTTGAACTCAAACCATCGACYAAGTATAYGCTTCCCAGATGTTAAATTTATCAAATTATGTGGTTGATGACATTGTGACAGAGCACTTGAASATGTGCAAGGTATGCGGRAAAATGGTCCCAAAAGTGCTCACTGACGACCAGAAATTGCGGCGAGTGGAAGTGAGCCAAGGCCCCCAATTTTGGAATAACGTGATCACAGGCGACGWGTCATCAATCCGAGACAAAGAGGTATTTTCAGACGATATTAAAGTGATTCTTAAAAATATTCGTTCAAAAATAACGTCACTTTGACCCTGCTCAGGAGATATTGGATTCAGCCATAGACGACTCAGATCTACTCGTAGGATCATAACAGGTGCCGCATCGTGGGTTTATKTTTATGACATGGAAACCAAAGATCAGTCATCCCAATGAAATCTGCTGCGTCAAGGTCGAATGTGATAGTTTRGCAACAGTTTTGTTTGATTGTGGAGGGCGTCGTGTATCATGAGTTCATGTCAAAGGCGGATTTTTGGAAGAATAGAAATTGGTTTTTGCACCATGGTAATGCCTCCCGAATCTTTGCTTATGAGCGAATATTTGCCTAAAAACAACACATTAACGGTGCCACAGCCACCGTCTTCCACAGACCTGGCCCACTGTGACTTGTTTTTTCTCCACAAAACCGAAGAGGCTCATGACAAACGCCGCTACGCTTCGCTGGAGAAGATACAAATTACGTCGAAAGAGGGGCTAACGAAGATCACAAAATATGATTTTTTGAAGTGCAGTGGCAGAAGTGCAATATACATAGAGGTGATTACTTTCAAGGAGAAAAATAGATATTCATGCATAAATGAACCCTTTCTTAAGGAATATAAAACTTTTTTAACAAATCTCGCATCTCAAGCGATTTCCAAAAATGTAGTTTAAAGATAAACAAATGAATTGAGAGGCTACAGCAGAAAGCATTAATTGTTAACTGGAAAGAAGGTTATAGATAAAATTTAGAGAACTTAATTGCAAAAATATTATAGCGAAAAATCGAAATTTTGAATAATTCGTAGATTCAGCTGTAAAATGTTGGTAATTCTGCATTAGACAAAACCAAGATCAAACTTTTTTAAGGGCTTAGAAAATTATCGAACTCATACTTTAATGGCAGGATAAGATATATTTGCGCATTGGCATACAAAAACTTAAAATTTTTCACTCAAATTCCTTATAAAGATAGCATATCACTGCTTCAGGACTATATAATTTGGTATAATTACACAGTAAAGTAAAGAACTAACTGGATTAACTAAAAATAATTATTGTCTACGAGAAATGAGTTTCTTAATTTACATATCATTGGATTACTTCACTATTTTGATAATTTGTATGATAGGGTTCTTTTGAGATTTTTGGAGATTTTTTAATGTATTAAAGAAGCATAGTGCCTCTGAAGACACCTAAATAAATAGCAGTCAGTCAGCACTGAAAGCTTTACCTTGCTTTAATATCGAAATATCTGCTGCAACTGTTCTACAAACTGCAAGGAGCCTTTGCCACCCTCACACTTTTCAGTGCGATATTTCTCATAGAGTCATACGACGCTTCTAATTAAAAAAATGAAGGAATTCTATTATTTTTAACAGACTAAAAGCTTAGTTCGCATTTATGAGATCAGAAGCAAACAAATTTTTTTTTTTTTTTTTTTTTTGTTCTGAAATAAATTGCTAACAGATGAGAGTATGTTGGATGGTTTTCCTAAGAGAGATGAATGGCTAGGATTTTTTAAAAGATCAAACGGCAGAACATCAACCAGCAATCTACTAGTTAAAAAGTTCTGCTTGAATAAGCAGTTGCACAAATTATGCTGTTGGCCGTCGTAGCTCTCACTAGTTCGTTCGAATGATTTTGCTGGATAGTTTGTGTATAAAACGCGTTCTTACTTGACTTGACCCGATAAGGATGATTTTTTTCTCTAAAGAGTAGAGTTAATATGCTTGATCGGCTGTATTTCGATACCACATTCATAAAGAGGTGTTTGACATGCAAACAAGTCAAAAATCATTGGAATTCGAGTGACTGGAAAAATCGTTGGTATAAGTGTGTTACACCTGGTGGGGACTATTTTGAAGGCAACAAAATAAATATTGATGAAAAATTTAATATTTTGCGTTTAATTTTCTATTTTATTAATCTTTAGGAGAATCTGTTTTTTTTTTAACAATATTTGATACCAATATATTTTTCTGCTGTTTCAACCCAAGCTTCTGTATTTAAATCTGACGTAAATCTTCTGGACTTGTCTTAAATTTTAAAGAGTAATTTACATTATGTTCGCCCTTAAACCAAAAAGTTTTGCAGACCTAAAAATTAGTTTTGTAATTATCAAACACAAATTGAAGCAAGCATAAACCAAAGAAATGTAATTGTATGATTAAAGGCATGTTGAATAATTATTTCAATTGATTTAAATGAAGACGAAAGAAAAAACATTTAAAAATATGTATATTAAAGAATAACTATTATAAAGACATAAATGTTTACAATTGAGTACATATGTTAACACTCGCATTTACATGCCTGTACAGGATGCGCCAACTTGTATGTTGACATTGACATGGGTTAGGTCATGATATGTAAAATAATTTTAAGAAGTTCTAGTCGATCGAGTTGGTTCCAGGATATGTCTGACCTCAACGCAGTTGAGGGGGATGGAAACAGCCTTTTTTCAATATAATATAAATCATATAAAAAATTTAATATTTTGTTAGAATTTTTTTACTGTTACACAATTAACAAAAATTCAGAATATTTTGGAAAAAAGTATTTAAACTCGACCATTGCAACACCATTTCCGGTGACCCTTCGAAAAAAGATGTAACTTCTTACAGCGTCATTTAAAGTTAAAAATAGGTGTTATAAAAAACCTTTACTTAGAATTTGGATGAAGAAAAAAAATCTGAAAATTGTATCTTTGGCAAATATTTAAGAAAAAAATTTAATTTTCAGTGAAAAATTCGATAAAAACCCATGTAACACTTTAAAAAGCTTCAAATAAATCCAATAACGACAAGAGGCGACAGTGACTGTTCGAAAAGAACGCCAATCAGATTCTGTCTGATATATTTTTGTGGAGATATCTGATATGCGCCAATAATCTGTAAACCAATATCAAACGTATCGAACAAGATTTTCGAAAAACTAACTGAACCAACAGAAAAAAGGTACTTTGGCCTATAAAATCGGTCAGTCGATACAAGTTGTATTCAACCAAATCGTTCAATAAGACCTAACTAAATATAAATATCCCGATAGCAAAGGATTTACAATTTTTTCAAATATATTAAGTTTTCATACTAACACCCAAAGATGGCGCACCCTGTACATAAAAACTTTTAAATAATAATCAAATACGCATAAGTAATAAAATAGTGAGACAAACAGAAAAACTCACGAATGCAATTACTAAATAAATGAATAAATTTTATATATATGTATGTATGTATATGCTCTGTACAAAAATGTTTGTATATATATGTACTAGTGTAAGTGCAGTTATAAAAATAAAACAAAATATGCATGTAATGACATTTGTACGTGTAATGAATATGCAATGATAATGCAAGCAATTAAATCGCGGCAGCAGCATAAAAATTACCACACAACACAGTACTCACACACAGACGCGCACACACATTCGTACACAACAAAAGTGTGTAAATTACTATAATAAATACATTAACTTGGAAATATTCATGTAATATATGAATAAATAAATTTTTGAAAAAGCAAAAAGTTATAAATAAATAATGATAAAGAAATACTAAAAAAATTCTAAGAAAAAAAAAGCCGATTTTTTTACAGTTCAGTGGTTATGTCAATGTGTTTGTAACGGCACTTATCGAGTTGTTGGTGTACGACGTTAACTGCTGACRATGTCACTGTCAAATATTTTGATT